GAGTTATTCGAACTTCCCGTACGCTTTCGGCAACATCCATACGTTCTAACGGGTGATATTATTAAAATGTACAGATAGATAATGATTAAGCTAGAACATTATAGCAATGTGTATTGTGGAAAGACAATCCTGATAAGCCTGCTATATAACGTTTGCTCTAAACACGATTATATATGGAGTCGCTTCAGTGTCATATTTAGCCATCAGATACTTACAACAGTTGTCTTTCAATTTTGAGAAAATTTATCCTTGCGCAGTTATAGCTTGTGATTTTTATGTTGATGATGTGATCATTGGGGAGTCATCGATCCAGCAATTCCTCGAGATCAGGACTCAAATACATGATATTTTTGAAATCTGCAGGATTTGGACTAGCCAAATGGCATTCCAATGCACCGTTCAGTCATGACGGAGATGCTGACAGCTATGGAATCACAAATACGAAGATTTTAGGACTACTGTGGCAACCAACGGTGGATGTAGATAAAGCAACTTGTAACTCTGTACCTGAAGTTACTACTAAACGCAACATGTTGTCCATAATTACACACATTTACCCATTTGATCGAATGGGATTAATTGGACTAGTTACAATCAAGGCAAAGATCTTGCTGCGATCACTTTGGCAACTCAAAATAGAATGGGATACTCCATTATCGGAATCTCTCAGAATTCTATAATCATCTTACTATCAGCAACTGCCATTGATCAATCGTATTGAAATACCACATGCTATCGTACACAACCCAATCGCTATATAACTGCATGGTTTCTGTAATGCATCCCAGTCTGTGTATTGCGCTTGTATATTTATTCGATCAATCGACGATGCTGAAACAACTAAAGTACAATTACTCGCAGCCAAGTCAAAAGTGGCACCATTGAAGACCAGTTTGCCCAAACTTGAATTATGCAGCGCTGTTTTTCTTGGAAATTTAATTCAGAAGGTGTCAAAATCTCTTACATGTACAATTGCAGGACATTATTTATGGACGAATTCAGAAATCGTGTTAGCATGGATGAAAGGTGAGCCATCTTAGTGGCAAATTTTTGTCAGCAATTGGATTGCCGAGATTCAACGATTGATTAACAAACAAAACTGATTACATGTACGCTCAGAACAGAATCCTGCTGATCTGATCTCACGCGGAGTTCTACCGAGCTAATTGCTCGATACTACATTGTGATGGGAGAAATAACTTTGGTCATCAACGAGCCAATCTCTATGGCCGGCGTCTATGACACAGTTACCAACGGACGTACCCGAGACACGTAGCCAGTCCTTCACATTACTCTGCGCAAAGGAATTGATTGATCTATCTAATCGATATTCTTCATTAACAAAACTGAAAAGAATTACTGCCGCATGCATAAGGTGCATGCAAAATTGTAACAAGATCAAAATCGCTAAGATTGTAAGGACCCTTTACTGAAGAGCTACAGCGGGCAATGGTATATTATACTCATAAAAATTCATCAACAAAGGAAGTTTTTAAACAAACTACACAATCTACAACAAAATCAACTACTAGATTCACACAGCAAAATTCTTGCACTCAATACGATGATTGATTAAAATGGATTACTTCGTACCGACTAAGGAATGCTTCACTTTCCTATTCTCAGAAACATCCAATCCTCTTGTCTTCACATGATCCGTTGACTGACTTGATCATACGTGATCAACATCTAAGTCATTTTCATATGAGTCCACTATTGTTATTAATTACGCTTCGCGAAACTGATAGTCCAAAAAATACCATTAAACAAGTCCTTAAGATATGCTTTCATTTGCGATCTCGTAGTTCGGCACAGCGTATGGACAATCTGCCGGAATCAAGAGTAAGAAAGTGCCTTTTCAGAGCGTTCTGTCATGCGAGCGTAGACTATGTTGGACCATTTAATATAAAAATTTCTCAAAATATGTCCGGTAAGGTTTATCTTTGTCTTTTTGTGTGCATGGCTACTAAGGCTATACACCTCAAATTACTATCCCATCTTATGACCGAAGTATTTTTAACGCATTCAAAAGATTCATTTCACAACGAGGAAAATGCGAGTCTATCTTATCCGACAATGAGAGAAATTTTATTGGAGCGAACAATGTATTGCGACAACTAGATTAATTCTTGTCAGATCCTAAAGTGTTACCAAGCAAGCGTTATTATGTGTCTAATTTAGGAATAACATGGAAATTTATTCCACCTCACTCCCCTTATATGGGAGGATTGTGGAAAACACATAAAAGACTGAAAACGCATCTAAAGGCTGTAATCAACGATGTACTATTGTCATTTGAAAAACTCTATACCGTGCTCAGATCGAAGCCACACTCAATTCGAGACCGTTGTGTCCCTTGAATAATTTTCCAGATGAGCTAGATGTATTAACGTCGGGATATTTTTTAATTGGAACCTCTTTTATGGCATTACCGGAGAAATCTATACTTGACATTCCACAAAATTATAGTAATCGCTACCAATTATTAACTCAACTCCAGTAGTCATTCTGGAAGCTTTGATCAAGGGAATACGTGGCACAACTACAACAGCGTACAAAATAGAAAACCGTTGTCCGTAATGACGAAATACAAATAGCAAAACTAGCTTTAATCTGTGATGAAACTACACCTCATTTGAGGTAGCGTATCGGCAGAATTTATGAACTCCTGGTGGCGATAGTTTAATCTGAGTAGTATTACTATTATATAAACTATTAGCGGAATTATTCAGCGCTCTTTATCAAACATTTGTATTTTGTCTATTAACTATATAACTATTATATGTGTATAGTCGCATTTTATTCAAATGATATTAATCACGTAAAGGAGGCACGTCCGTGTTTCGCGCCATAACTTAGAGCCGAAACACTACCAGTGTCTCCAGATCTTAAATTTATTTAGTTTATTGAAGTTATACTTCAAGGCCGGATTTGTGAAATACATATTGTTCAACTACTGAAATGATAATCGATTTACTTACTAAGCCGTTAACAATTACAAAATTATGTATTTAAAGGAAAAGATTATTAGCAAACTTGATACGAATTGAGGGAAAGTGTTGAAAATAATTATTATTCAAGTTTGCTAATATAAGTTTGATTCTCGTAATAAGTAGATTAACTGATTATACATACGCAAACAGCGAATTGTAATATCCTTGTTACGTCCGAATTGAGGTTTTTATTTCTAGATTTTATATTTTCTGTTTTGGGGTCAATGCATTTAAGCAATTTAAATCCGGGGTTTGGAGATCAAGTTGTGCGGTTAGGATTGTTTGATGGGGAGAGTGGGATAATTGCTCGGTAGGGTAACCTTGAATCCGGTGTCAAAAAACTCACGAAGCTTATAGTTTACGTGGATCACCTTTTTGAATATTTCGGTAATCAGGGAATGGAAGAGTGATCTCCAACGGTTGGAGGGAATATCCGCTTTCGTTAGGTGGGCTTATCGGTTTTTTTTTATCTAATAATTATGCCAATTTCTGGAAATAGGGGAAAGGATCGTGGTTTGAATTAATAGTTGATTTGACTTGATACCTCAATCTCTTATCCTGTTGTTTGCGTCCGCTTTTAGTAGGCATGGAGGTAACGCGAAAAGAATTATCGTTGTTCCGAAGGAGTGCCGCAAGACGGGGGCCACGCTATTGGCAGCGACAGTCACAACAGATTCTCGGATATTCGTATACCTCAATGAATTTGAAATAGAACAGAGATCTAGGCTTTAGCCGAATTGTTTTAGTATAGTCGTTTAATAAAGAAAAAAAAGATTACAAATATAGGAATAAGTTCCGGAGGTTAGCGCGAGGATAGCTCTTACCCACTTCCAGAGTAGTTTTCTACTTTCGCTCTTGGTTTACTTCTTCTTTTCCTCTCTATTCGTTTCTGCCTTCGGCAGCTCCTTTTATACTTAAAAATGAATATGGGAGTGTCCTTTCAGGACCAATCAGTACTCCTTGGAATTTGGTAGGACTTATGCCCGCGCTTGTTTCCTTAAGGCAGCAGGACTCCGCGCAAGCCCCACTCCCGGCACTACGAGTCTAGTTTTATCTTAATAATGAGAGTTTTTAATAATTTATAAAGATTCGATCTTACTTAACTAATATCCTGCGAGGCGAAGTGTGATGACATATTCTATAATAGATTATATTAATAATACATATTTTAAACTGCTACCGTCAAAATATATATAACTTCGTAATTCTTGGATAGATTTTAGTTCCATTAGAAATAAAAGGAAAAAAATAAAAGATATTCACCCTCGCAGTTGGAAGGTCTTAATTTTTACCATGTACTATTACTTAATTATTAGGCATATATACTATTGTTTAACATTTTTCTGAAAAAAGGCTCTCAACGGAAAAGATTATTGGTTAGATATTTTTTGTCTATGTGACGCATAAGGTGTACGAGCGTGAGCTATCTGTTTGTTTTGAATGTTTACAAAAACAGGAACCGAATAGGCCCTTCTATAAAAGGGACGGTTACAAAACCTAAACTAGAAGTACTAAACTAGAGATAAAATAAATCATATATTTATAATAAAGAGATAGAGGGTTTTATCGGGATATAACAGTACACATGGCTATTAATTTTTGCAATATTATTATTAAAATTAGAGTTTATCAAATTGATTTTACAGCTACATATTTATTTACGTAGTTAGGAATTTATTATTGATATCTCGGATAAGTTGTCACACTGCAAAAGAATTCAAAGTAATAATTTGTACAGCAAATATATCATGAAATAAGATTAAAGAACATATGCATTAGTCATCTCATAATAAGGTTGAAGAACATTTATAAATTATCGTAAAAAACACACAAAGTAAATTAACTAGTACATGATACAAAAAAGTCCTTAGATTTGCCAGCGAGGCCAATTAAATAATTATTTTAAATATTATAACGTTAAATTTATTAACAAAGCTAAACAACTACAAATTAATCTTACAAAAAATTAGCATTCGTTTTCAAGCTTCTTATTTTAACAATGTAAAATCATATACTGATTCCAACAATACCATTGTAAATATCTTGAGGTCTAGCCTGATACCACATTGCTGAGCAAGCTATAATCAGAGTATGTATACCGTTCGGCAATTTTTCATAAACATAATCTCTAGGATTTGCCCATTGCCAACTACTGGGCGCCACAAGAATATCACCACCTCTAGATAGAATTTATTGTATCACTATATATATATATTTTTTTATTTGTTTGTCTCTTATAAAATTAACAAAAAATAATTTTAATAAATTAAATTAGCGGAGCACATTTTATTCGCTTTGGTATTTTTTTACTCATAAATGTATAAATAAAGTGATATTTCTTAATTTATAATATTAAATATTATTTTTAATCGTACATGTGAGAATACAACCAATAGAATCAATGCTTTTAATGGTCTTAGATTTTCAGTGCTTATTTAATTTTGTGTAAATTTATATACTATGTATGTAATCCCGCATCGATTTTTCGGTCTTGAAACACAAACTTTACTAAACTACTATAGTAATATCACGAATTAAATTGACTAGCAATTTAACAATTTGATGCTTTTTTGCATCTTATAACAATCTTAATAATGAGTGACGTACTAAATCTTAACTGAGTGACATACTAAAATCTGTAAATAATTAATTCTTATTGCGAAAAATATTACCTTGGCCAGAAGTTGAACCCAGATCTCTTGCATTCCGTGCGAGCGTCCTAAACCTTAAAGAAATCTGGGTTCGACTCCCGACCGAGGTAATATTTTTATAAGAAGAAGATTACAAATTTTAATACGTCAGCATTATTAAAATCATTCTAAGATGCAAAAAAACATCAAATTGTTAAATTGTTAGTCAATTTAACTCGTGATATTAATGCGGTAGTTTAGTAGAGTTTGCATTTTAAGACCGAAAAATCATATCGGCGCACAGTTTAAAAAATTACATACGTAGTATATAAATTCACACAGAATTAAATAAGCACTTAAGATTCAGCTAAGACCGTTAAAGACGTTGATTCTATTATCTACTGATTGATTGTATTAATTTGTATTTATAATAACAACTTATAAATTTATACTAATTACTTATAATTAATGAATAGATTACATAAATAGATGAATTTTTATCTTTGTTCCCCTTCCTTTTTTATTCGTTTCATTTTAAACTTATATATTACTGCATAATTTATACCTACCTACATTTTAATAAATAAGTTAAAATGATAGATAATATTTGACTATATGTAATACCTGCATAATCCTTCGGCAAACTTTACATCCCAAACAGGTTTTCCAGTAATGACATAATAAGACATCGTTTCTGGATCACCAATAGACGTGAAATATGTTATTCCGGAAGCAATGGCAAGTTTTACTGTCAAAGACATTATTGAATTAACTTTTTTTAACTACCATCATATCGGAGATTCTGTAATCTATTGTATGTTTTTGAAAAATATAAATCTGTCGACTACTATATGTTTGTAAATTTTGATTTGTAGACTTATTAATGTTGACTTTCGAAAACGCTAAAATTTAGCATTTTGACATATTGATGCATTATTGATGCAATTGTACCTTTGAGTGATACACCAACATCAGTGTCATAGGTTCCAAAATGTTTCTGTATGATGCATGCAGTTTGCATTGCCTCCGTAGCGATATCACGCATAAGCATCCCTTCTTGGAGCTTCCACATTACTATAAACGCATCGCCGGAAAATTTCACAACATCTCCATTATGAGAAAGAATTTCCTGCACCATCGCGCCGATATAGCTGTTCAAAGTTTCCGATAACTTAGATGGACCACCAACACCAGTCTTCGTGAATTTTTCTGTGAGATCTGTGAAGCCTGCATTAAATACAATTGCACATTATAATTTGTAATTTGTCGTGATATAATAATTCAATAAATATCTCTAACCTGAAATATCACCGAGCATCAACGTTGTGTTATATTCTCTGGTCTCGTAATTGTCATAATAATCGAGAATTTCATCAGGACACATAGACGCAAATATTTTGGTATGGTGTTCCAATCTAGCACGCAACGATGGACCTGAATTATAGAGTACAAATTGAAATAATAATAAATGAATAATCTTTATTAAATTGTGAAGATTTTTAATAAAACGTTTCTCATGTTAATTATCAGGCAAATTATCGCGTAGAATTATTGAGTACTTTCGATATACCTACCAGTAATATATCAGTGGTATATTGGATACAAAGAAGAGACATTTTCTCGAATAAATATTGATATTTAACTTAATTTATTTAATTATTTAAAATTGCGATTATTAGCATTTTGTTATAGTTGATAGAAGTTTAAGATTCCATATTGTGTTAATACATTTAAAAAGTCTTTGTAGTGAAATACAAAATT